AGCATCTGATTCATAGTAAAAATTGAATAAATATTAGCTGCTCTTTATATTTGAATTTGAAGACCACTGATTCACCAACCTCATATTTCCAAAATGTGTTTGGTGCTCAAGAGTAAGAGGTTCCGCTGTCTTACAGGGCTGCCGTGAATATACTTTTCACTGGAGATCCAAAACAAAGATTAACATGTCAGTAAGGAAACCTGTTTAACTTTAAGCAGGTGTTTGCTAATCGTGAGCACAATTATAATTCCTATTAACTTGCTGTTCTACAGTTGGTAAACACTGATCTGATAACCTTCCACTAGGCTCCATCTATTCATTGGAAAGATTTGTACAGAAGCTATAGTTTAGATCCCCCATCCCTCAATCTCCCCATTAATCTATCCTTCTCAGGAAGACAAAGTACAAGAAGCCAGTTGTTTCAGGCAAAAATGTCCCATTTTAACTCATTCTTGTAGAGTGCCGCAAACTTGCCACCAGGTGGTGCCATTGTATAAAACGAAAGTAGATTAAGCGGCAGGGTATCCTTAGTGTCTAAATGATGAAAGATGGGCAAAGTGTTTGATGAGAATCACATCAGAAATCAGCTTACTGTTCACTAAAGTTGTCTGGAAGACCTTTTCCATTCTCTTGGCTTTTAGTTAAAAGAGATCATTTGAACCTTGAAATACAAGATAACCAAAGTGGCAGACATGAAGCTTATGTTATCACCAAAGGAAAAAGTAAAACCTAAAAGAATTCCTTAGTGTTTTAGAACCATGCAGAATGGAAAATACAATATCCTTGAGAAAGGCAAGTTAGCATACTGGCCAAGAGTGTGGGCTCTGCGGTGTATGTGTTGGGTTCAGATCCCGGCTCGTAGACTAGTAGCTATGCGACCTTGAACACAGTTGTGATACCTATTAACTTTCCACCCTGTAGTTGACCCTTGGTGATCTGAAGCAATTTTATATGTACAATATCAGTTTAAAAATGTTACATGTTATAGAGTTGTTAGGGGATTGAAATTAAATATGTCTAAAGCACTTACAAAAGTGCCTAGCACACAGTAAGTGACAAATGTTAGCTATTGTTATTATCCTAAAGAAATTTTTTTTTTCTACAGCTTATTTTCAGTTGCTTTTTAAAGACGGGAAGCTCATGGTGCAGATCATTATTTCCAGGTGAGTACCTTTTGAGACTTTTTTTAATTTAGCTTGAATGATTAGGGCTATATAGGTTTGAAATTTCCCTGGAAGAATTGGGGTCCTTAGGTGCATCTTGCACAAATCCTTGCATTTCAATTTCTAGTTCAGTGTCTAGCACTGCCCAGTTTCCCAAGAATTCGTGCTCAGCAAAGAGATCTCTTGGGCCTTGAATGGTGGTGTAGGACACTATTATTCATCCTTCACCCCTCCAAAATATTGTAACCGCCAGCCCTTTGCTTGCAGTGCTGGGGCTGGAGGCCTGGCAGAATGGGTGCTGATGGAGCTACAGGGGGAGATCGAGGCTCGCTACAGCACTGGATTAGCTGGAAACCTCCTGGGAGACCTACATTACACCACTGAGGTGAGGGGACTTTTCTTTCCCTGCCTAATGCTTCAGGAAAGCAAGCTACACCAAGGTGGTGCTCCCAGGACCCAGAGTGAGGACTGCCCTCAGGTTTGTTATTCAAGGTCTAGCTAAGCCATTGCTTGTTCTCCCCCCACCTCTGCAGTAGCAGGGAAATTTAGCTTTGGGGAATCTGGAAAGGTCACAGTTCTAAAAGTAGAAATTCTCTTACTTGGGGCTAGAAAGAGTGAAAAGGATATGAGGGTGGGTTGTCCTTTGTGGCTTCTCAGCAGTGGTTGAGGGAGTGGAGGTGCCAGCATTGCCTCCCAAGAGCATCTCTAGAAGGCACCTGAATGTTACGACCTTGCCCTGAACCTCAGGCATCTCATTCTTGTTCTGCCAAAGGGAATCCCTGTGCTGATCGTGGGGCATCATATCCTGTATGGGAAAATCATCCATCTGGAGAAACCTTTTGCCGTCCTTGTTAAACACACTCCCGGGGAGCAGGACTGTGATGACCTTGACTGCAGGAGTGGCACCCAGTACGTGGTAACAGCACTCATCAAAAACAAGATCCTTTTCAAAACTCGCCCCAAGCCCATTATCACCAACGTCCCCAAGAAAGTATGAAAGAACCCCGGATTTTCCCTAGAGAGCGGCCAACTCCTTGGACTCGTGCTCCGCTGCCACCTCGAGGACGGATGGACAGTTCCCTGGGACCACAAGGGGGTCCTGCTTTAAACACAGGCCACCCTCTGGGTATGAACTCAGATCCCTTCCTTATGGCAACCGGCTCTCTTGGTGGAAATTTGGCCCCGTTTCCAAGGAACCCGTCTCCTTTTCCAACTTCATCAGGCTCATTGGCTTCAAATCCAGCACCTTTCCCTGCTGGTGCTCGTGACCCAAGCATGGCTTCTTTTCCAAGAGGGATGAATCCCACTGGCACAGGTGCAGTTTCTTTCCCAAGGCCGGGTGGTCTCTTGGGCCCAAGCCCAGGGTCAGCTCTAAATCCTAGAGCAGGGGCTCTTCCAGGCCCAGGGCCTCTGTCTAACCCAAGGTTAGGGGGTCTCCCAGGGCCAGGTCCTATGTCCAACCCAAGGCCAGGTGGTCTTCTGGGAACAGGTCCTGACCCCAGAAGTGGTGGCCCCATGGGCCCTGGATCTGGACCCAACCTGAGAGCAGGTGTCCTGTTGACTTCTGGGAATGGTCCTCCCAATGCTAGGCCCGTTGGCCTGGGCCCCGGACCAAGTCCCAATCTGAGATCAGGCTTTGTAGGTACAAACCCTGCCCCGAGATCAGGTATGTTTCCAGGCCCTGGCCTTGGGCCCAACCCAAGGTCAAGTGGCCTGGGCCCAGGCCTTGGGCCTAACCCAAGGGCAGGTAGCCTGGCTCCAAGCCCTAATTTGGACACCAGAGCAGGTGGCCTCTTGGGCACAGGATCTGGTCTTAACTTAAGAATGGCTGGACCTCAAAGCCTAGATCTTGCACCCATTCTAAGAGCAGCAGGTCTTTTAGGAGCAAATTCAGCTGCTTTCTCACAGTCTTCTGGAAACATGGGCACAAGCCCATCTTCCATGGCCAGAATACCTGGCCCCATAGGCCCAAACTCGGGTCCTGGCTCTCGGGGAATTGGCCTTCCGGGGCCAAATCCATCTCCCATGTCGAGGGCTCCTGGCCCCATTGGCCCTAATTCAGCTCATTTTTCAAGGCCCGCTGGCCCCATGGGAGTAAATGCTAATCCTTTTCCAAGGGGGACAGGTTCAGGGGGATTGAACCCAGCTGCTTTCTCTCAGTCTTCTAACACATTGGCTTCAAACCCAGTTAACTTCCAGAGGTCTGCTGGCCTCCAGGGCTCAAGTCCGGCAATTTTCCCAAGAGCCTCTGGGCCACTAGGCTCCAACCCAGCTAACTTTCCAAGGGCCACTGGTTTACAGGGTCCAAGTCCAGCTACCTTCCCAAGGTCTACTGGCCCATTAGGTCCTGGTCAGGTTACTTTCCCCAGGTCAGCTCCTGGGCCCCTAGGCTCTTCGCCAGCAGGCCCGGTGGGTATCAACCCAGCTCCTTTTGCAAGGCCAACTGGGACCCTGGGTCTAAACCCAGCTTCCTTTCCAAGGATGAATGGCCCTGTAAGCAAGACTTTGGTCCCATTTCCTAGAGTGGGGAGCCTCCCTGGCACCAACCCAGCTGCTTTCCCCAGACCAGGGGGTCCAATGGCTGCAATGTACCCAAATGGAATGTTACCCCCTTAAACACCATTTTCTCTCCAGGACCACCCTGGTTTCCAGGCACTGTGGTTCTGGGCAGGCGCTGTGTTTTAGGTGAAAGGGTAGATATGGAGCTACAGTCTGAAGTACATAGCTGGGGCTCAACTTCAAATGAGCATTTCCCGCCCCCCCCCCCCCCCGCATCTTTCTTGACTGAAGGTGAAATGTTATCTGTGGGACATGGACTTTGGCAGGTGGGAATGATCCCGCCTTGCGAGAAGGAATCTCCAGCCTTCCAGAAGCCTGCTGTGCTTTTGTCCCACAGCTTTCTGCCCCTTGTTTCTTACTAGTTTCTTGAATTGTTCTTGTGGACTTTTCCTCAGGGATACATTGGCCTGCAGGTTCCAATTCATATGCGCTCCCCTGCTCACCACCGGAGAATCAGCTCACTGCTGTCTAGAAATGTTGCGTTGGTGAGCGGACCATGCTTCAGCAGCGCTGACCTGGTCACCCTCTACTGCCATACCTTCCCCTGGGGGCTGGAACACAGAACAGGGAAGTGCAGCCACTTCAGAGAGCCACCAAATTTCTGCTGGCCTGACCGGGCCTGCTTAGAGAAGGCCAGGATCAAGGCTCCACTGCTCATCCCGCTCCCTCTCCACTGGTACTCCCAATCAGAGAACCTCAAAATTAAACTGACGTGGATGGGGTTATGGGAATTGGGGTGGGGGTGGGGGGAGTGAAGGGGAGAAATCACTGTGCTTCGTTCAGCCTGATGTGAAAGGATGGTGTTTTCCTGCATTGTACCTTTTCTTACTGTTTCTTTAATAAATGGGACGAGAGGGCTATTGATTTCACTCCCTTTTTATTACCTGTTCCACAGGGAAGGAAGTTTACCCACTGCTTTTCATTGTTTCAGCTTGGCCACAGTCCTACATTACCTTCCAGATAATGACATTTTCAAGGAGGAAGCAAGCTTTGGTTTTTAGCCTTAGCTGGTTAACTAGGGCTCACTCACTGGCTCGTAATTTCACCAAAGACCCCGTCCACTCTCTACAATAAAAAATTAAGCCACCATAGGTGTGCAGTTATCAAGGTAGACCTACTGTATTCCCCAGGTCCAGAGGCAGCTATGACAACTTACCTGCTTCTGAGTTCCAGTGGAATTTCCTCGGCAAAACTAGTTCTTCCTCGAGTACCAATCTTGAAACTGGAATAAAGAGCTAGCTTTTGTTAAATACAAAGAGGGAGGGAGGAGCTCAGAGGTACCAGCATTATGTGAGAATCTTTATTTTGACAAATAAGTGCAGTATAAAAAATTTGACCTGAAAGTAAAAAAAAAATAAAGTAAAAATAAATATGTTTACAAATTATTGTAGAAATAATACAAAAGAGGATTAAAATTCTCATTGAGGAAAACCTAAAATGTGTCCAATTGTATAAAGGCTCTTCCCTTACAAGAAACGGGAATAAAGCTGAAGACCCAGTTTGGTTTCGCTGCTGAAAAATGTACAAAATAACTTAGAAAAACCAGTTGAGGTCAAACGTTGTGGGCCCACTACTTGTACCTGCCTACTCTTGATCTGGAGAAAGTTGATTGTCACAGAGCAAGGCAGAGCTGATGGTAGGACAGCCAAGAGTTCTCCATCTGGGAGTCCATCCTACATTAACCTTCAAGTAAAAGCTGAAGAAAAACAAGCCCTTAGTGAAGTCTGCGCTCTGCAGTTGGCTGACCGGATTTCTTCCATTGTAGTGTTCAAGATAGTTTACTTCTTGGCCAGCAAAAACATGGAAGAGCCTGGAACAACTGCCTTCAGCAAACGCCTGCCGCCTCTTCCCAGCCTTCATGGATTAGGCCTGATGTCAACCAGCAGTCGTCGTCTTACAAACTCAAGGTCTGTGTGATGCAGCAGTGTTCGCTGCAGCTGGAAGACCCCCGAGTTCATGGGAGATGAAGCACCAGGGTTTGCCAGTCTGGCTCAGAGCACACTTTGTTCCTTCGTAGGAAGCACCTGGGCACACTAGAGGCTTGCCCCGTCGAATACTGTCCACCTTAGTGCTGGTTCTGAGGGCTCAGCAGGCCCCTCTGAGGGTGGATGTTTGGCGAGAAAGCACACTTGAGCAAGCAACCTCTAAGTCAAAGGCTTAGTCAATATCCCAGTTTTCAAATCCAAGAGCTCAGAACAGTCTGTGGATTGCAGATCTGTAGAAAATGGCCTTCCCTCACTCCCCCTCCAAAAAAGAGGGAAATCAAACAGCCTCGAGAGGCGTGAGAGAAGAGAAGAACCTTAGGATTTAGATACCAATTTCATCTCCTAGTTTGGTTTCTGGACAGAAGCAAGCAAATGCAGTAGTGACTATCCACAACTTGGCTGTAAGAATTCCCTGGAGAAGCCACTGAAGAGAATGGACAGTCTCAACGATGACCAGCTTGGATTGAGGGTTCCCTTAGGGAACACTGAAAAGCTTTCCATTAGAGGTGATTGTCAACAACCGTAGCCTGAACGTCATGGGTACTGCTCATCTGCCAAGGAATCTGTCCAGGCAGTTCCAGGACTGTAGACAGTGTGGTCAGAGGCTCCTAATAGCTTTTCCCCACGTGCTGAGGGCAGGCTTGCCTATTGCAGAGGGGCCCGTGAGAGTCCAGGCTCTGTGTCACTCGCCACCTTGAAAAACTTACCCGATGAGGAGGAGGGTGGAACAGGTGACTATCACTGTGAAGTGAAGCGAAGCGAAGTGAGGAGGCTGTCTTAGACTCAGTCAGAGCTGAATTTGAGAGCGGAATTCAGGAGTATACAGGTTGAAATACCCAAGCCCTCACTTCCTTTCTGAGCATGTTGGGGTTTAATCTTCCTGGTAGATGACGAAAACATTTTACCTCCTCAGCAGAGATCACAGACAAGACAATCTAGATATGTGGGCAATTTCCAGGTAGAATACATTCAGCTCAAGGCCTCCATAGAGCCTTGAGCTATGGCCTTTAGCACCACCACCACCATTTGTTCCTCCTGGCAAACTTTCCTTTTTAACATATATATACACACACTTCACACTTAAAACCAGTCCAGTGCTAACTCCCTGCTAGTCTGGCTCATCCTTGGGATGTTGAGATGTGGAATGCAGTACTTCACATAAGGAAGCACCATTCCTGGACCCTGTTTTCTGATGCCCAAAGATCAGGCTTCTGGGCTTTGTATTTCAGGCACAATCTTATTGCATTGATAACTAGAAAGAGGCGGGGACACGTTACTAGCTGGCCCAGATCTCTCAGAAATTCTCCCACCACCTCTGATTTTGTTCAGGTGGGCTAAGAGAACCGCTTCCCACGGGCCCTCCTTGCTTACTCACCCGTCAGAAGCTGCCACTAAATGGAACTTATTGTTTGGTTTAGCACACTTCTGAGTTCCCTCTGGATCTCAGGGGAGGAAGTGGAATGTTGCCCAGAGGCCACTGTGTGCACAGAGGCGAGCAGACAGGCGGCCTGAAAACATACATGCCTCCTCCGTCACCCTGAGCTGGACTTGCCTCCTCTAAGCAGAGCTGGCCCAGGCCGTACTACAGTCACCATTCTTTGCACTTCACATTTGTCCTTTGGACCATTAAAAAACTAAAACAGCACTCCCTCCTCCCTCCCACCCCATCTTCTCCATTCCCCTTCCCTCCCTTACCCATTGCACTTTTCCCGCTCTGCTTGAGGGCTACGTCACACCTCAGCAAAAGCTAAGCTATACTGCTCTGGCTTCTTCCCGCATCGCCGGGCAATGATGGCCAGATACAACATGAGGAGGGCCACCCAGTAGCAGCCGTACAGGATGGCCCCAGAGACAAGGAAGGCTAGCTCCGTCTCACTGAACAGATCCTGGCAGTAAGCTGTGTAGGCCAGCCCCCCAAGGAGGACTGCCACCCAGATGGACACAGGGATGAGGCCAATGAAGTTCACCACAATGGTTTTTCGGCCAGAGGTGCCCCAGCCAGACTTGTTGATGGTAGCAATGGCAAAGATCTTGGCTGGCAGGAGGCTGGACATATAGAGAAGGGAGTATAGTGACATGAAGATCATCTCTGCATTGCCCCGAAGGAAGCAGGCGTATGTAGCCTTGATAATGCCCACCAGCTGCACTGTCAGCAGGAAGAGAAGAATGTTCCAGATGCGGCCACGGTAGAAAAGCTGTATGACTGTGGCGATAAGGAAGAAGGGGAAGAAACCCGTGACCACTGATTCGTAGGTCATCCAGAGGTGGTGCTTGTGGAACCACAGAGAGTTGTAGAGCCACTCGCGGAAGTAAGACTTGCTCCAGCGGGTCTGCTGGTTAAGCCACCGGAGGTACTTGGTGGGGGTCTCTGTGAGGCATTTAGAGCGAGCTGTATACTTAGTCCTGTAGCCGAGACTCAGGACTCGGTTGGTGAGGTGCCGGTCATCCCCAAAGCTGCACTTGCTGCCTAGGAACTTCTGATGGTACCAGTCCTCCAAGAATTGCTGAAGGAGGCTGTTACGGTACATGCCCAAGGGCCCGCTAATGCACTGCACACAGCCAAAGTAGGACTGGCAAGCCCGCTCCACATTGAAGGCCATCCAGTACCGCACACTGCTTAGGAAGGAGATCCATGAATCGTATTTGTTGAGGATCTGCAAGGGAACCAGAGATGCTGGGCCTCCTTGCCTGAGGACATGAGCCCCAGGAGACAGACACCAGAGACCATGAGGCCTCCCTACACCCCAAGTGCTGGAGCCCATTGCTCCAGTTCCTGGCCGTGAGTCCTCGCCCAGCCAGAGCTGGGAAACCAGAGGCTCAGAGGAAGCGACCACACCCAGTCACTCTCCCCGGCACCAGCCCCACCTCTCCTCCGTGTCATCTGCACCGACTGTCCCAATGAAGTTGCTCTAGCAGTTAAAGCCACCTTCAATCTCAGGAGGCAGCCTGTGGTGGTGGCCAAGAGAAAGGCTTGAGAAAGAAGCACACACCCCAGCCACCCATCCTGACCCTTTCTGCAGTTGGAAAGCTTCTTGGGAAGACATGGTATGTTGCCAGCAGTACCCTTGGAAGAAGATCTGACCCTTTATTTGTACCATACTGCCCGGAGCTCTTCAGTGCAACGTCCCTAAGAGCAAGGGTTTCTCAGGGGTCTAACTTTGGAGTTGCTTGGTGCACCACCGGCCAGAAAGGAAGCCCCCTCCAGGATGGATGGCCTCAGAACACTGTGCCCCTCCCAGCAGCATAGGCTCTCTATATACCTGTTAAGTAATTTCTCCCCACTTAAAAGAACAGGAAAGGGGTTGGGTAGCAGATGAGCCCTTTGATACCATTGAAAACTGTCAAAGAGGAAACACCCCTCCAAAACACTAGGAAGTCAAGATGTCCATTCCTAAGCATATCCAATTAGATTAAGAAGCAGAAAGAATCCAGACCCCCCCCCCCAGGAATCCTTGGTTACTTCTTACTTGGACATCTCCCCCGACTCCTCCTACTTGGGGGTCCTCCTCCAGGACTCGAAGCATTTCAATTGTGCAGGCTGGATCCAGCACAGTGTCAGAGTCACACACCTGCAGAAGGAATGCACTATCAGTCCATTTCGACCTCAGGTACACACGTACACACACACACACACACACACACACACGCACACACACGCACACACACCTTTCACATGATACACTTCAAGCTACTAGCAGAGAAGTCTATGCCAAATAGAAAGGGTGAAATGAATAACAAAGGAAAGTAAGAAAACGAGTTCAGGTACCAGGCTTGATAGCCACTAGACCGAGAGATCTCCAGGAGACTTTCCGTGCTGGGCCCAGAAAGGGAGAAGTGCTTAGCACTGGAGAAATCTTTAGCCCCTTACAGAGCCAGACTCCTCAGAAGTGGTCTTAAAATATTTCTCAAAATAGTATTTCTCTTCAAAATAGTATTTCTCTTCAAAAAGTCATTGAAATCAGATGACAAGCATTGTGGCTAGACCAGGGCCAGCAGACATTTCTCAGAAGGCCAAGAAATGGCTCCTGCCAGAGGCTACTGCCCAAAGCTTGCTCATAGGATTATTAAGAACAGGGTCTTCCCTGTTTCAGCCTCTGGCCTCTTAGACAACCAGCCTAAGTGGAGGATGTATTTAGCCCAGTCACAGGACCTCTAATGAGGCTTCCAGGCCTTTTGTGTTCTGTTGGCCAAGTCTCCCAGATCGGGGCATGGCATGGCCACGGGCTGCTCTCACGTAGATTCTACTCTGGATGGGCCTGGAAGCTGGCACCAGCTACCTCCAATCAGGACCTGGATCAAATCCTGCCCACCTGCCCGCCTTTCCTAGGGAGACTCCTGGTTTATGTCTAACAGGTGGCCTGTTATTGTTATTAGTTGAACCTGGGCTACGAACACTTACTCTGGTGGCTGACTCCTTCTTTGTTTTCTAGAAAATTGAGATGATACAAAAAGCCCAGATAACCAGAGTAGAGGAATTGGTTTCCTGACCCCTGAGAGAGCAAAGAACAGTATCCACAGATAAGCCCAAACCCTGTTCTGCAAAAGCCTAAAATCCTTTTACTAAAGTTGCTGAGGACCTATTAGCCTTCAGGAAGGGGGCCACCCTCTACACTCCAACCCTATGCTTTCTCTCTCCACGTTGGAAGACTCAGTGGCCACAGACAAGCAGCAGAAAGCAGAGGGGGAACCAGGCAGAGTCATCACAGCCACTCCCTCCTACCTGCACAATGACACATCCTTACAATCCTGGCCCAGACTGGGAAGGCCCTAGGGAGCCTCAGGCCACTCCCAGAGCCCCCTCAGCTTACAGGCCAAGCTTCCCAGGGCTGCTGGTCTCAAGACTACTTCCTGCCATGACCCTACCTCATTCCTCACACTGCTTGGCTTCCCTCACGCCAGGGAGGTCTTTCCAGCTGAGCAAGGTTAGGAAAGTTAGAGCTCTTGGCTGCCTGAGTTTCCCCACTGGCTGGAGCAGGGTTATCTCCCGAAGAGGGAAAGACACCTTCAGCAGGGCTCATGAAGACAGGCAGAAACCCAGAGTGTTTAATGACTGGCGCCCAGGGCTGCCCCAAGTAGTGAGCCCAGAGCCTTCAAGAGAAAGGCTGGCTCAGGTGCATGAGCCTATCTGCTGATCCACCAGAGCACAGAGGAAAGGAAGAGGTGTGGTAGAGCAGGTTTGGGGGGATCCTGTGCTTCAAGGGAGTAGATGACAGAGTCACGACGGCTTGAGCACATGCCAGGAGGGCTCAAGGGCTTTTTCTAAATCTTCTGAGTCCCCAGGCAAGTCTCAAAGGCCCCTTGACCCTAGGTGAACTGCAGAATCAAGAACTGTCTCACATCCCTCCCTCTCCAAGGCTGAGGAGGTCCTTGGGCCTAAGAAGATAGAAAAAGACAAATATGCTAACTCTCACTGCAACTTTCTAAATAGCCAAAAACAAAAAATCTGTGGCAAGCTAATTTTAGGTGGGTACAGTAAAGAAAATTTGAATATTGGAGTATGCAACATGCTGTCAGCAAGACTGCTGGCACGTAGGTGGGCTGCCGCAGCAGCCACTATCCATTCAGACGACAGAGAAGGGCAGGAACAGAGGAGTGGACAGTGGATGCTGGACCAGAAACCTGGGGTCCTGGGTGTCAGTTTCTACTTGGTACTGAAATGCATGACCTTTCATCAGTTTTCTCTAGGTTCTGTTATTTGAAAATTGGAGCAGGGGACTTCCCTGGTGGTGCAGTGGTTAAGAGTCCACCTGCCAATGCAGGGGACGTGGGTTCGAGCCCTGGTCTGGGAAGATCCCACATGCCGCGGAGCAACTAAGCCCGTGTGCCACAACTACTGAGCCTGTGCTCTAGAGACCACGAGCCACAACTACTGAGCCTGAGTGCCACAACTACTGAAGCCCGCACGCCTACAGCCCACGCTGTTCAACAAGAGAAGCCACCACAATGAGAAGCCCATGCACCACAATGAAGACCCAACATTGCCAAAAATAAAATTAATTTAAAAAAGGAAAAGAAAATTGGAGCAATGTTAACCTTGTCAGCATAATAAAATTTCCAGGCTGGTGTCAATGCCTGCTTTGGCTGGAAGCTAGGCAGGGTCTGTTCAGGGTCCTGGCCCTGCCAAGATGGCTGCAGAATCGGGGTGGGGGATGATTTGCACGTGTCCCTCCACCTCACAGATAAGAACTTGACACCGGAAAGAGTTGGACTTTTTAGCCCATAACTAAAACTATTTGAGTGCTTGGCAGCATGATTTTTTTTTTGCTCTTCCCCACACTTCTTTATGAAGAGGCTCATCCCCACGTTGCCAGTATCGAGGCAGTATCGTACAGCGGACAAGGACAGACTGCCGAGGCTCAAATCCTGGCTCTGCACCTTACTGCCATGTGACATTAGGCAAGTTACTTAGCCTCTCTGTGCTTCAGGCTCAGTTTCTGTAAGTGGAAATAATAATAGTACCTATCTCCTAGGAGTATTACAAGGATTAAAAGAACTAAAATGTATGAAGTGCCTACAACAGTGTCTGGTATAAGTAAATGCTATACACTTTACACCTGTTTGCTATTATTGGGCTACCAATCCATAGACCTGCCCAGAGTCACAGAGCTAAGTAACAGCAGAACCAGGATTCCCTCCCAGGTCTTTTTAACCCCAGGACTGCTGTTGAGAACCATGGTGCCTACTGCCTTCTTAAGTGCAGAGGAGGAATGTGCACAACACAAAGGACCTAGACTGGACCTAAAAGTCCCCAGGAGAGTATGCCTGCCTGGCTGGACACATCCACATGTCCACATACACCTAGGGAGGCACGCTTACCTGGATGTAGTCCACTGAATCACCAAGAGCCTTGAAGGCCGTGTACATGACCTCTCGCTTGCCTCCCCACTTCTGCATGATGCATGAGAAGGTGCTGGCCTGCACCACGTTGCGCACGCGGTCCATGCCCTCCTGAAGGCTGGCCTCCGTCTCACCCTCACCCGCCTCATGGAAGTTGCTGCGCCACACAAAGAAGCCGGCTTGCTCGGTGCCACCTAGCACCTCATGGAAGATGTCCAGCATGTAGGCATCCTCCTGGCGATTGCCATCCACCACCATGACCACCTTGAGGTCGGGGAAGGCGATGCGCTGGGCTGAGCGCAGGCACTTGCGCAAGTAGTCGGGGTCCTCCTGGTATGCAGCGATGCAGAGCGCCACAGAGCGCCGCAGCGGGGAGGGCAGCTTCAGTGGCCGGCCTGCCCGCCGCATGCGCCGGTGCTCCAGGAAGGCAAACAGGCTCTGGATGAGCAGGTGCAGACCCAGGATGGCACCGTACAGCCCGAAGGACAGGTAGTGTTTTTCCGTGTGGATGAACTGGTAGCCTGTCACATAAGCTGCCAGGATGCCACCCAGCACTGCCAGGGCAAACAGGCTGGTGCCCACCACACGAAGGGCTGTTGTCAGCTGCACCGGCATCTGGTGGGAGAAGGTGGGAGATGTGGGTCAGGCGGAGGCAGCATCCCTGGTCAATGGCAGTGGGGGCATTTTCTCTGGGCCTGGCCCAGAACCGGGAAAATGACCCACTAATAAAAACAATTACCATTTATTGAGCATGACTAAGACTGTAGACTCAGAAGCCAGACTACTGGTGTTCAAATCCCAGCTCTGACACTATCTGTGTGACTGTGTTCTACCCCTTAGTTAATTCATCTGTAAAATGTGGGTTGCAGCACTAACTTCCTAGCATCTTTAAGGATTAAATGGGTTACATATGTAAAGCACTTAAAGTAGCATTTATTATTGTTAGACAAACCAAAGCCAGAGAGAGCTGTGTGATACCTAGCTGGTGGCAGAACTGGGATCTGCCTGACCCAAAGCTCTCATAGGCAAGCTTCAGTAGGGGTGAGCCTGAGGCCAGAGGAAGCTCTGAGCACCTGAGGGGCCAGGAAGAAGGAGGGGGGGGGGGCAGGGGCAGGTAGGCAGCCTCTACTTGGCCTATACCCACTAGGGGATTACACCAATGAGGCCCATGAAGAAAGTGGGGAAGGAAAAGATAGGAAACAAAGAGATGCCAGAGGAAAAAAAGAAGGAAACAGCTTCCCTTTCTCAAAACAGCTAAATTGGTAAGAGAAACTTTCCCTATGTTCTCTGCTTTCTCATCTTTTTCTCATTTGAGAGGCAGGGAAGAAAGGGAAAGCAATCAGGAAAAGCAGACAAGGTTGAGAAGAGGAAATGAGCGCCGGGGTGTGGACGGCCGTCCTGGAAGTCCAGCACTGGGGCACCAGAGGGAACTGCAGCCACCACTGCAGCAGCCTGGGAGGGGTGGCTGCCTGGGAAGCCCCATCTACTTGGTCCTAGCGCCCACATAGAATCTCTGTCCACGTCCCCCTGCCGCACCACTCCTGGAAATGCTGCCAGGTTTTATTTGCAACCAAGTCAGGGCTTCTAGCATCTGCCCAATTGGAAATAGCTTTTTTAATGAAAAGAGCCTAGCACTCGGAACCAGAAGTCTTGTGCTTGAGACAGCTCTACTACCTCCTGGCTGCCTGACCTTGCCCAAATTCTCTGGGACTTAGCATCCCCCTCAGGAGGGATTCCAATGGTTTCTTGCTCCATAGGTCTCAGGTAAATCATTTTACTGATTAGTAGCCCTGAAAGATTACCCAAGTCGGGAGGTGGATGCGGATGGGAGAAGGCTGATGAGGCCAGCTCCCTGCCCTCCATTCTGAGGCCTTCTCCCCATCTCCCCTCCTTGCCACCTGCCTGATCTGGAGAATCCTGTTTCCTCCACCACCACCACCACCCACCCTTTACAGACAATGAGGTCTCACTTCCAAGCTTGCTCCAAGTCTACGTCTCACTAAACCCAACTCCTGACCCCCACCTCAACACAAACACACTTTCTTGCCGGGGGTCTGTTCCCCTGCCACCTCTCACATAGGAGGGGTGAGGAACACGCAGTTAGTGCCTCAATCAGCCGGAGACTCAGGCCTCAGCATTCCAGCAGCTTCGGTCCGGAAAGTACTGTTGGCAGCCTCGCCTCTCCGGGAAGCGCGGCCTCCGGGCGCTCTGCCCCGCCATCCCGGGGAGCCTGCCGCGTACTTCCTCTGCAGGACTCCCGTCCTTCCTTCTCTCCCCCGCCCCCCCCGCCAGCCCGCGGCCGTCGCACGCGCTTGCGGCCCAGGGGTCCCTAGGCCCTGCATCCACCGCCCAGGAGCGCCCCCGCCCCCTCTAGAGCTTGCATGCCATGGGGGCGCTGCGGGCACTACTGCCCGCCTGCGCTCTGGGAAAGGGCAGGGGGCGCCGAGGCCAACCCAGCGACCTGCCGGGCGCTGGCGCCCCGCCTCGGTGCAGTGCCGGAGGCGGTGCCCACCAGGTTAACGCAGCCGGGAAGACACTGGCCAGGCTTCTCGCCCACGCCAGAGCCTCGCCTTCTGGCGAAGGCGGTGCCGGCCACACCCACGTGCGGGTTTCCCACGACCCAGCCTGGAAGGAACGGAAAACCCAAGGAATCAGTCGACCCAGGCCTCACTCATCTCCTCGGGGGCCCCAGCTACCTTGGCAAAGTGTGCCTGCAGACAAAGACGGCGTCCCCGGTGTCGCCGGCCCCCTCCTTTCCCAGGCGGGACACCCTCCTCCCCTGCTCAGGAAGTGGAGACATTACCTCGGCACCCCTACGCCACAGAGGACCCAAGAAGGTCCCGCAGCTGGAGACCCCACGTGCAATCAGGCGCTGGTGCGGGGCTCTGCCTCAGGTGGCCCTGCCCAGACAGGGGGCCGTGCCACCCCCAAGCCGGCGGAGGGAGCCTCTTGCCCCCCATACCCTTCGCTCGGAAGGGATCAACGAGAGCTCGGCCCCGGTAGGCTAACGCGCACCCGGCTTCAAGGGCAAGAGGTTGGGGGCGCTCCCTAAGCCCTCCCCCCACCCCCAGAGATGAGGGAAAGAGGAAAACCCCAGACAAGGATGCACGCCGCCAATCTACTCCCGACACTTTGCGGGGCTGCCCAGTCTGCAGCTTCTCCAGCTGACAGGTGCGCCCTGCTGCGGGGCCCACACGCGTCGGGGTGGAAACTTGCGCGCGGGGTAGGGGCTCTTTCCTTTGCGCCCGGCCGCCCTCCCGGCCCCTCCGAGCCCGCAAGGGAAGGGGAGCCCAGGCCGCGAGTACGTGCGGCCGTGGCCCGGCTGACCCACAAAAACCCGGGCGCCAAGCATCTTGGTGCCTGGACAGGTGCGAACCCCTGGGCGGGCCTGGGGCAGGGAGAGACTCCAGCCAGCCTCATGCCCCTCACCGCCGCCCGCCTCCCAAGCCATTCACAAACCAGGAGCCACAAGGGAGGAAGGGAGGAGAGGCTGGAGAAGGAGAGGATGGAGGAAGAAAGGGAGGAGGGGTCAGCGGGGAGGGGGCTGCAGGAACGGGAGCCGGGAAGCTTGGAGATGCCGCAGCCCTCAGCCCGCCTCCCGGCGCTGGACGCCGCGCCCGCACGGCCCCGGGAGCCGGCGGGGTCCGCGGGGCTCAGCAAGAGGCACCCCTGGAGCCCGGCGCGCCCGGGTACCCCGCGAGGCCCGCCCCTCCGAGGCAGCCGGCCGGCCGGCCGGGCCTGCGCTCACCGTGCCGCCGGCTACCCGCGCTCCGGTGCTCAGCAGGCCCGCGGCTGCTCCATGCCCCTCCTCCCGCTCCTCGCCGCCGCGCCTCGCTCCACCGTGCGCCGCCGCCACCGCGCGCTCCGACTGAAGAGCTCCGGCCCCGCCGAGCCGCCTTTAAGTACCTAGCGCGTCCCCGCCGGGAGAGGCGCCCTCCTCCGGCCCTGGGGCCGGGAAAGTTGGGAAGAGTGGGAGGGCTCCCCCGAGGGCCGCGAGGTAGCACCTCCTTCCCGGCTCGGCCAGAGGTAGCCCCACGCGGCCGGCGCGCGGTTGGACGCAGGCTCCCGAGTGCACGCGGCTACTCCAGTTCGCAAAGACTCAAGAATCTCCGCACCCTCCGAAAATGGGTTTCCCCTCCGCCGCTCTCGTTCCGGGACCAACTGCCCAGGGGGAGGTGGTCATTGTGCTCAACCTAGAACCTGAAGCGTAGTTAACTTCAGTATAACCCATAAGGGCTTCCAAAATTATGACTCTCAGTTGCCCCCTCCTCTGCAAAGCGGGGGAGCGGGTAGAAATCCCTCGACTGCAGCACGCGGAGGGACTGTGCGCTGTATAGGGTAGTCCCTAAAGCCCAGACCCCAGAACCTTCCTGCCGGCAAAAAAAAAAAAAAAAAAAAAAAGGCGTAGAAGAGAATACTTGTTAAATACAAAAAGACTGGTCAAAGGTGTTACCAATTGTGAAATTGTGACAAGCTTAGCTTTCAATCCCGCAGTGGGGCGCTGATGACTTTAACGCTTTTTCAAAAGCTGCAATGGTTTTGCAAGAACCTTGTAAGTTCCAGTGTCCTAAAGCCAAAACCAACTCTCCTCTCCTTTTTACACCTTTATTTCCGACATCCATGACCTCCTAAATTCCCAACTGATCTCATCGGCAGAGGCTTCCAAGCTCCCAAAAGCTGGTGCTAGACTTGGGTGAGGTGAGGTCGCATGGGGTTGGGGGGAGGTGGGGAGTTCTTAGCAGAGGAAGTTAGTTCAGAACGAGCTGAACACGCTGGGTTTCTAAATCTCAGAAAATCTTGGAGGTATTATAATTGAAGACTAATAAAAAATGAATTTACATATCTTCCAGATACACCTGGGACAATTTCCATCACTTTTTCCAAGCTGCAACAAATTTATAGGAACCTGAGTTGCAATCTGTAAGCTGCTCCTCTCAGAAGTCTTAGGGGCTCACCCTGACTCACTCTGGGCCACAGAGCTCACCCCTCAGTCGCCCAGGCAAGCAGACCCCTGGCACACCTCCTCCACTGCCGCCCCCCCTCCCGCCCCGCATCTTGTGTTACATAAACCAAATCACTTCTGGCTTTTGCTTGAGAAAATCATCACTAATATGCTACATGGTTTAAACATTGTGTGCTTTTTAAAACTAGTATTCGCGATGCGAATGTGTTTTGAACCTCAGATGGGCCCTATTAAGAGCAAACAAGGCACAGGTGGAGAGAGAAGCCCTTGGTTAAGAGGAGGACTCTGGAGTCAGTTCTGCCCCTAGCCGTGTGGCACTAACCTCAGTGTCTTCATCCCAGAAATGGGATTGAGTATCTACCTGACATGGATGTCACAAGGACTGAAGCGACTGACTGACAGTAAGTGCTCAGTAAAGGTTAACTGCAGCCAACTTCAACCAGAGAATGGCATCTGCTTGCCGATGCTATGGATTCTACATGCCTATCCCTCTAGGATGTGACACTTGGTGACAGGAAGTTCAGAGATCAGTGTTCATGAAAAATGCCTTGTCTCAATTGCATTACGGACTCCTTGAGCTCTAGGCCACCGCCTCTACATCCAGGAGCATCACAGAGCCTGGAGTTGCCAGAGACTGGAGGAGCTATCTGATTCTACCTCCCACCCAAATTTGCCATCTGCAAAATTTTAGAACAGGGGAAACAAGCAGGGGCTGGGCGGCAACAAAGATGAGTGCATCGGCCTGGTGGGGAGCCAAGGTCCCATTTAAAGGAGATGTCCCTTTGAGAGGGAGGGCCCAGTGTGGCCAGGTGCTCTGCTGTTGAGAAGCCAGAAATCCAGATTTTTACGTGAAATCTCCTCATATTAAAGTGTTAGCTACTAATTCAAACGTTAAAAAACACTCCACAGGCCAGGCCAAATGTGTCTGTGAGTCAGATCCAACCAACTGGCTACTTGCAAGTGACCTGTTTAGACGCTTTAGGAATGGAGCAGCCAGTTTGGAAAGGTCCCGTCTGCCCTCAGCAACACAGCAACATGACATCTTGGGTGCAAGTTTCCTGGGGCTGCTCCAGGATCATCTCATGCCTAGTTAATTTCTAAGGCTCCAAATTGTCCCACAGGCTTAGTGCCTGTCTCACGCAGCTGGTTCCAGGGTTGCGCTGGTACAGCACAACCTCACTAGTCAGTTAAAACCTCCAAAATGAACGACAGGTCCAGATGCAACATTATGAGAACAGTAAACACTCTGCCCATATCAATTGCCTTGGCCCCCTAAATGGCTTCCCCCAGGGAGCAAATTATCTTTTTCTGGTCTGCAGGGCCAGCCACCTGGTGTTATCAGGCAGCTTGGAGAGTCTTTACCTTTGTGGCCCGGCAGGATTTGCCTGTAATTAACATCCACTTTGCCATGACCTATTTGCATTCATCTCTTCAGGGGGAGATGGGTAGGGGAATCCTTAAGGGTCTGATACAATAAAGCTCACGTTTATCTCTGCTTACCACTGGGGATTCAGAAATAGGACTAATTCCATACCCAATTACTTAAAAATGTGAATTCAGAGGTTGCTGAATTGGCTTTTACACAGGTTCCAGAGGGTAAGCCTCCTATTCAGCTCTGTAGCAGAAGATTCATGAGGCATTTCAACATTCATTTACTAAACACTGAAGACCTGATCCGAGCAGAGAAGGATGCTTTGGCACTGCAAAGTCTCAGGCTGGTCCCTGCCATCTAGATGGTTATCCGTTTTGAAGAAAAATACACTTGAAAAATTAAGTCACCGTACAAGAAAGTTTATAATGTTGATGAGAGAATCCAACTGCAAGAGTTTGAAGATTTCGGGAAAGAGATCTCTGTGAGCTGGTATGGGCTGGGCAGTTTCATGGAGGACTTGAGCTGACTGTGTAGAGAGACAAGAGCATTCTAGACAGGAAACAAAGCTTACGAACAAGAGTAGGTAGAGGAATGGGTGAGGTGTGTTTGAAGGCCAGCAAAAGAGAGGTCTGGATGAAACAAGAAATTTACACTGAAGAAGTTGCAACGGTGCCTGCTCTGTAGAAAGTGCCTGATAAAGTCTAGCTGCAGAGAAGAAGGAAGCTAGGGATGGATTCTGGAAGGCCTTGGATGACTGAATAAGGAGTTTGGATTTTATCCAGTAGGTAACAGAGAATATTGAAGTTGTCAGAGCAAGGTAGTAAGAGGCTGTAAGTATTGTTTGGGGATGGCTGAGCCAGTGGTGTTTTGGGGTAAGGACTAGGAATGGGGTAGGAGACCTGTTAGGAGGCAGATAAACCACAAAAAAGGGGTGAGAAAGGGCAGCTGTGAGAATTGTTGGTGCTGCCCTCAGGAAGTGGAGGTGAGGGCAGGCAGTGCCAACTATCTTGGGCACAAGCGAGAGTACAGGTGGAGGAATAATCAAGGAAAAGAGACTTCTACAGTTCGGAGGGTGGAGGGGGCCATTCTCAAAGCTCTGGAGGTTTTGAGATGACTGGAGCTGACAGTACCACAAACACATATTTCACCTTTCAACTAATTTTCAAATCCAAACCCATGAAATACCCAAATACCTTTGTGCCAATAGAAGCCTGCCATTCGATCCTTCTTGTCATCACTCGTGCTTGAAGCTGCGGGACAACCCTGCCAGCCAGTAACCAGGAGTTGCTTTGCTCTGCTGGTAGCCTAGTGAATGACTGGGTGGGGGAGGGGCGGAGGGATGGTCTCGCTCCACAGGCTGCCCCCTCCCCCTCTGACCTCATGCTTTAGTGCTCCACCCTGGCATCCAGCCCACAGCCTCTAGCGAAGCCAAGCAGAATGGGGGATGGCAGCCAAGCCACCAGGTCTCCCCCAGTCCCTCCAGGCTTCATCCCATCCACTTCCTCTGGGCTGACCACAATCAAAACCTCTTGAAGGTAATGAAGGTGAATTTAAATTGGCCCCCAAAGAGTAGCTGGTTATGCCCCCCAGTTGACTACACAGGGCCTCCTCCTCAAGGCAGCCTAATAATCTGCCACACTAGTTCATACATAATTCCAAGTGGAAAACGTGTGCCTTGACAGCGGCAAGGCAGCTACTACCAAGCAAAGTTATCCCTTCATAACTCTTCCCTCTTACCGACAAGTACTCTGTAATCAGTACCATTTCTAGGTGCTACGTTTGAAGAAGCAGGCTTAAGGATTTTCTGTCCTGCAGTTACAATGGTTAGATTTTAACTCCAGTCTCCCTCCGTGGATAGAAGAGTCATTTTCATTTCAAAATAAAGGGCCTCTGCTCTGCTGGAGGCAGAGCTGCCAGCTCCTACTAAGGGGCTAGGTTCTTTTATGCTGGCTTGAAGGTCAGGATTAGAAGGGCACACAGAACGATAATCAAGTGTCAAGCCAGACCTGGAGATGCTTTCTTGAAATCCTGAACAGAAAAAGCTCTTCCTGGCCATCTTTCCTTCCTCTCCCTCCCCCAGGTGAATACAGAAAGAAATCCAGAAGGCGATTTTAAACCATAACCTACCTTCTTGGCAGAATATTGTGCAGCTACTAAATATAATGTAATGTTCGGGAAGAGAATGTAGGAATAGGCAAAAATGCTTATAATGCAATGTTAAGTAAAAAAGGCAGGATACAAAAATTGTCATGTATGAATGACTACATTTACGTTGTTTTCTTTTGAATCCTATGAATTAAAGGGCAGGAGAGAAATTCACCCAGATATTAAGATCAGGTTTGTTTGGGTGGTAGAACAATGAATTTTTTCTCTTTGCCCTTTTCTCTGTATTCTCCAAACATTCTATAAATAAGTATAATAGTCTTGTAATAAAAAGATTATTTTAAAATGATATGAATTGTAAATTCACAGAATTTCCTTCTAAACTAGCGCTGGGTGGGATACAGCCCATATCATACGTGGGCTCATGTGAAAAAGTCTGGCAACCTCCGTCTGCTAAGAAAGCAGGAAAGTTGGGAGGGCCAGGATATAGGATTAGTGGTAGCCAAAACTCCAGTACTTTGCTTTATTTAAATCCCTCCCACTGTTCCTTTGAGAGAATTTTTGCAGGGAAAAGGGGAGTATGTAGAGCTGTGCCTGCTCATCCAGCAGCTCTGAGTAAATTATAAAAAGACTCCTTCTTCCTTCCTCCTGGCAACACAGCCCAGAGCCAGGGCACACGGCTTGCCTGGCACAGCCCAGCTGGTGTCAGCCCCCACTCAGCCCCTCATCCAGGGTCACGGTGATCCTGGGGAAGGGAGGCAGGTGCACTTAATGTGGGCTCTAGTAGTACCCTGAAAGGATGCTTTTCCTGAAAAAAAGTATTTCCAAGAATGATGATGTCAACAGCATTGCACTCCTGCCCGGGGAGAGGCTGTCTCCTCTGGGTGCTGTAAACCTACCCCCATGCCAGTACCAATGGGTACGTCCACACCCACACGTGCACGTAACATACTGTACACAGAACGGACACACGCATACTTGCTCATTACACAAGCGCACACTCACTTTCCCGGACTTCAGCGGGATGCAATCCCAGCCTACAGCCCCAGTTGCAGGATCAGCAGGAGAAGAACAAAACCACTTAAGGTAACCTTGTTCCAAATTCATTTGGCTTCATTACAATAACATCAACCACAGTTCTTAAATGTGCTGGCGCTTCTGCTTCATGTCCTTGTTCTTGATTAAAGACACTGTTAGTCACTGTCACAGAGGAGGTCCGAAGCTGGATCCTCCATAAAAGCAATTAGAGAAGAGCTGAGGGTAGAGGCAGTCCCCATCAGCTCCTTCATGGGGAGAGACCCCCCAAAATATGTCCCACTCTCAGATTTTTTTTGTTAGGACACCCCCCCTAACTCACTCTCTCTCTCTCTCTCTCTCTCTCTCCTCTTTTCTCACCAGATAAGCTAATGTAGTGGTTCTCACGTCTGGCTGCTGCACGTTAGACTTTTAAAACCTGGGAAGCTTTCTGAAAAACACTAATGCCTGGACCCTATCCCAGATCGATTTAGTCACAATCACTGGGGGTGAGCCCCAGGCTTGAATTTTTTATTTAATTCCCTAGGAGACTCTATTACACAGCCAGCAGTGAGGATGCATCCTGAGGAGTCTCCTCAGCTGGGTTTGCAAGTGCATTTCTGGCACTGGGAGGACAGCAGACAGACAGCCAGTCCCAGAGGTGAGCTCCAGAGCGTACAAGTATCTATCCATTTTCCTCCAGCACCATGCCCGCCACACTTGTTTGAATTAAGTGACCTTAAAAACTTAACAATGAACCAATGAGCTACTAAGCCAGAAGGAAAAAAAAGAAAAAGGAGAAAAGACGCTGATATGAGGTGGAAATTAGGAGGGAGAGCCAAGGAGAAACAGAGGCGGGCAGACAGGACCAGCTGGGCACGCCACTCCCAGATCTCCGGATCTACCTGGAATTGGGTTGATATAATCTTTTAGTTGGCAAAGGTGCTGCCTGCTTTTTCCAGAAGAACTGGGGGAAAGCCACGGAGGAGAGAGTTGCCAAAAACAACTAGGATTAGTTTTTGTTTTACAAAGGACAGGACTTCTGCACACTGAGGACTTTTCCTACCTAGAGGATGGGTTAGGGTAGTGGATATGGGCTGCTCTCTTTTGGGGCATGGAGTCTCCATGACTCTCTCTCACATGGTCCTGGCCTTGGCCACAGAGAAACACCCACATGGCTGATGCTGGAGCCTTGTTCTTTGTACTCTCTGAACAGCACTGATACAGTTTCTTTGGAAAGTGGCAGGGGGATCACCCCACGCCCAGCTCTTCAAAGCATCAGCACAACCATTCTTTTAGTAAAGACAGCCTAATTTCAGGCTGGCCCTTCCCTAAGATTAACAAGGTCACCATAAGTTTTGAAGTTTGGAAAGTGGTGTGTGGTCTAATAAAGAGGTGTGTGAATGTGTCCCACCCAGGCACTGTTCTGAGCAGGTTTTAGCTCTTAAGGCAGACAGTGAAGATTAAATTTTACATCATTTAATAAACCACTTAAACGCCCAGTAGCTCTTCCTAGTTCCCCAGCAGAGAGGGTGCTCCTGCAGCTCCGAATCTGCCCCGCAAACTGCCCTCCTCTCATAATACCAACAACTCTCACCCTCAGCACCCCCCCTGCATCTCTGAGATGGAGTTAGGTGCTGGCTAACTGGTTCCTATAAGAACTAGCAAATGAAGTCAGAAGTTTCTCTGCTCTAGTGCACTCACTCGCTTCTCCCTTTGTCTCTTCCCATCTGCAAGAACTTATCTCTCTGGACCTTATTTTTCCCTTCTGCAAAATAGGGCCATTAATTCCAGTCTCATTTTTTTCTCTGAAGGAATGGTATGGAATAGAGCTATCAATGTATATATGTGAGAAATACATACACACGCATTAAAACAATCCATTGTTATCATTCTGAGATACCAAAATCTGAGAACCGAAACCCTGCTTACAGGAGGTAAAAGGGTAAAACAAACAAAAAACAACAAACCTTCAAAGGAGACATTTCTGGGCTCTGACTGGAGTTCACGGGAAGACTTACTACATTTTCTATGTTCCCACACACGGCGCGGCAGCTTCAAGGGTCTACTACCTTAGCCACCCCCAGAAAGAAGAATAGGCCTTTCAATGAGCAATTTACAAAAGCTGCCAAAGTACAGGAGCAGGTGGGCTGGGGGGCTTTAGCAAATCTCATCTCCAGCTGCTAGGCAAACTACAAGGTCAAAAACAAGATCTATAGCAAGTTCTGGTGTTTGAGGTTAGGTTTCGATGTACGTGGACACTATCTGGAGGGAATCAGGGCTGAGGTTTATCTTGACATACATGGTCCATCTGAACAAGCAGGGAACCACTGTCTTTATCCTCACTTATAATAACAGTTTTTTACCACTTGGAAATATAGTGTCTATTGGGTGGCAAAGCACAGTGGCTAAAAGCTCAGCCTTGGGAGCCAGACTGCCTGGGTCCAAATACTGGTTTGGCTACTTCTCACTAACTATGTAATCTGGAGCAAGTAATTAGCCTCTTGTGTGCCTCAGTTTTCCCATCTGTAAAACAGGGATAATAATAATACCTACCTCGGGACTCCCCTGGTGGCGCAGTGGTTAAGAATCCGCCTGCCAGTGCAGGGAACATGGGTTTGAGCCCTGGTCCGGGAAGATCCTACAATGCCTCGGAGCAAGTAAGCCCATGCACCACAACTACTGAGCCTGCGCTCTAGAGCCCGTGCTCTGCAATGAGAAGCCACCACAATGAGAAGCCCGCGCACCGCAACAAAGAGTAGCCCTCGCTCAACGCAACTAGAGAAAGCGTGCAGCAATGAAGACTCAACGCAGCCAAAAATAAATAAATTAATAAATAAATTAATAAAAATAATAATACCTACCTCATGGGCCCAGTGTGAGGATTTAGTGGATTAATATATGTCAAGTGTACAGAAGAGCACAATAAGCTCTTTATAGTGTTAACTGATTATGATGTACAGTGATGTAGAGCTACAGCAATCATTCATCCTGGGTTTTACAGGATGAACCTGATACTTTAAGGGGCCGTCAGACCCGATGTCCTGAGTCTGGTGTGGGAACCGTGGTCATTAACCTGGGGACACCTCTAACCCCATGAGAAGGCATACCCTAACACTCAGGACGGAGTCTCAGAGCTGAGAGCCTAGTCAGAGCTCTTTTGAATACACCTGCAGGAGCTCAGGATTTCTCTCCAGGACGAGTACTTGTAGCTGGACTTTGGCTGCCGGTGAGCATACTTGCAAAGTGTTATTGTGCCCCTACCGGTGGTTTTGATACACAGAAAACTCCATCCCCTGAAGATTTCCTGGGCCTGAAATTATTTAGAGAATGGTGTTAACACTTTGCTGTGGTGACTGAACCTGCATTGCATGGTTATTAAAGCAGTGTCAGCTGAGGATGGAGGAACGTAGATCGGCACAAGCGTGTTGGTGGAAGGAACACTGAAAATGTTCGTATCTTCTGGATCCAGCCTTCCAACCTTTTAGGACTTATCCTATAGAAACACTTCAGTATGCAAAGAGTTATGCTCGAGAATCATTGAAGAATCATTGGAACTTAGAAATAATTCAACTGACCATCAAGAGGCAAATGCTTAAACCAGCTGTCGTTCATCTATACAATGGAAGACATGCCACATCACAGGGGAGAGGGGGCTGTAAGTACTGAGTGTCTCCAAGGTATGTGACTAAGAAAAAAATCTATGGGACACTTTTTATGGTGACAATCCCATTTTTGTTTTTGAAAGCAGTAAGGTATATTCATGTTCGTTTGGGAAAAGGATGAAAGGAAGGAAAGATCTAGAGGGATATACACCCACCTGCTGGTCAGTGGTAACCTTGGGGTAGGAGTGGAGGTGAGATTGCGAATTCTTCTTCGTTACATATACTTTAAATTTGTTATAATTCATAAAGCATATAATCTGTGCGTGCATGCACACACACACACACACACACACACACACACACACACACACACGCAGCCAGGGCATCTGTACCTGAGGGCTCTGCCACTCCTCAGCACTCTGAGGGCAGGGGGCCAGCACAGGGTCGGCATCCCTCAGCTCGTGTCAGCAGAGTTCCAATGACTGCTTTGTGGGACCCACATGCCGGGGCTCCTGTGTGTATATGAGCTCCTGAGTGCTTCTCAAGCTGTGCTCTAGTTGAAAGGGCTTTGCTGCTATACTAATTTTGGGGGGAGAGGCTCCTTAGGATTCAAGAGATGTTCAAAAGAGTCTGCCTCAAGCCCCCCAGGAGACTTGGGCCAAATTCCACCAAAAGGGAATAACAATAGTTTGCCTCTCTGTTCCACGATGTTGTTGTATCATACAAGTTCATGGGTAAAAAATGACCTTCCAAACTAAAGGAAACACAGAGTAACTGATCTTGCTATTCTATGCCCCCAGGGACTGCAGAGTGTCACGGGGGTGGGGGCAGGTAATACCTGAGCTTCCTGGGAGTACGGACCTACCTGAGTCAGCATGAAGAACACTGGGGAGGGACAAGAGGGATGACCCTTCAAATAAGTGGGTGCAGCCCCTTCCAGGGCTGATGGTGCAGGTCTGCGCTGCCTCTACACCTGCTGGAGGCACGGGGTACGCTGAGCACAGCCCTGAGCCCCGCCAACAGGGAAGAGTGCAGCAGCTGGTGTTCTAAGAAGACAACTCCCCAACCCCCAAGTGGCCAGTCAGCTCCGAGCAGAGTGGTGCATGGAAGTGAGGTGCCGTGCACTGCAGGGAGGCTGCTGCGTGTGACTGCAGAAGCTCTGTGGCTGCAGAACTCGCTGGAGGACACAGCACAGCCCTTAGAGGTCACGCCTGCTGCTGTCCAGGAGGCAGTGGAAGAAGACCACCCCCCATGCCCCCGTCGTGGTCAGGGCAGAGTGGCTTGCCTCCCACAGCCCACCCTGGAACTCAGCTCCCGTTCTGACTCTCTCCCTTGCCACTGAAATTCCAGCTGAGCTTTTGGATTTCTGTGCAGAGAGACTGCAGAAGCCAATCTGGTTTTGTACAGGTCAGGTGAATCATCCCCCAACCAACTGATCAACTTTCACGTGTCTTGGCCATCCCTCCAGTGCAGGCGGCAGGCAAGGCTCCCTTCACTCACAGCCTCACAGACAAAGAGATGGAGCAGGGCGGGGACAGAGGCCAGACCAACCCGTCTGCTGTCCTCTTTCTTCTGGGGCCAATGAGGAGAAACGGCTGCTGCCAAAGAAGGCGTTGGTGAAAGGGGATGGGGCTCACCACTTCCAAACTGAGAGAAAACTGTGGTTGGATGTGAACAACTTCTGGCTCAATACATTTCCCATTTTACAGCTTTTATCATCTTGGCCTCAAAGCACTTTCCAAAAACAAGCTGAAGGGGCTTCAGGTGGAAACAGGTCTGCGGCTGCCCCCTCACTCAGAGCGGTCCACAGGCTCCACGTTGTTCGGCACGTCGCCCCCTGCACCCCCTCCGCTCCACTTCCTGCCCGCTCACTGTGCCCAGCAGCACTGCCCCTCCTCTCTCACCTCCGGGCCCTGGCACTCGCCACTCCCTCTGCCTGGACCACTCTTCCCTCAAGTATCTTCATGGCCGCTCCTTCACCTCCTTCTGATCCTTACTCAAACTTCAACTTCTCAGTGAGGCCCTCTCTGGACAACTTATCCAAAGTCACAGCTCTCACCCCATACACTCCTCACCTTTCCTTCCCGACTTGATTTTTCCCTAGAGCATTTATCACCATTTGATATCCTGCTTTATTCTTTATCTTACTTGTTGCCTGTCTCCTCCTGCTACAACGTAAGCTTCCCCTGAAGGTAAGCATTTTGTTCACTGCAGTGTTCTCAGCATGTGGTGCTACGTCTGGCACATAGTAGGTGCTCAACAAATTGTTGTCGTCGTTGCCTGTGATTCGCTTTCCTACCCTCCTGTCCCTGGTCAGCCCTTACACGTGGATGGGTCGGCAGAGCCATAGGAAAGTGAAGGAATGGAGAAGAGAGGTGAAGAAAGAAGAATATGAACATATGGAAAAGTATGTGTTTGGAGAGACGATAAGGAGCAAAGTGCAAGTTAAGAGATTTCTGATTAAATAACAGAGTGTGTGGAAGGGTAAGTTTGTGCCAAGGAGGAAGGACAAAACAGCAGAGAGGGAAGCTCTCCAGAATGTCCAGTAAGTCTAACCTGATCAACCAGTCGACACTTGGGCAGAGAGCCTGGGGTTTGGCTGCAGCCACAGCTTTGGGCCCCTGCCTGACTCTTGCCACAGTGCCATCCTCTGGAGACCAAGGGAGATGTGCCGGTGGCCTAGAAGAGGAGGAAGAAGCAGGGAAGGGAAAGGGGGCAAGTAAAAGACTAATGAGTGATACAGGGGGGCGTGGGACAGACTGCTACGCAGTGGAGGGGACTGGAGGTGCGAGGCCAGGAGAGTGTCTGTAGCAGAGACAAAGGGAGGAGACTGGAGGAGCAGCAGGAGGAGGTGGCCGCAGAGGGAGGAGAGACGGGCAGAGGTGGGAGGCAAGCACAGGGACGCTGCTATTACACAGAAGCAGACACGCGTCTCGGGCCTCTGCAGGAACGTGTCACTATTGCTCCTGCCATCTGCCCCTGGAGTTCTGTGCCTTTTTCTTTTTCTTAAGTTTTGCGTTCTTATTATCGTAAAGCTCTCAATTCTCATGCTTTCTCAAGGATGGAGACATATATAGATACAGATATCTATATACATATCTATACATATCTATATACATGGGAGATTATTTTACAATTTGGTAATTTTTAATATTTTGGTCATATTTGGTGTTTAGAAGGGTTACATTACGGTATCCTCCCCTTGAGTTTGGTAACAACGACAGAAAAGGTCACTCTCTGAAACTGAATCCATCAAAGTCAATAAAGAACAGATGCTTTTAGCCAGTTGCCAAATAATTCAAATTAAGAGGCAATTTATAAATGGAGATAAGGGGACCACAATGCTTTGTGAGGCACTCCCTAGACCAGGTGTTTAGACTAGAGACTTTCTCAGTCTAATCAAGCTGATCAATTAGGATATGTCCTCAGAACTGAAATACATTTAATGCAAATAAAGTTGTAAGTTAAACCAACCATCTAACATACCTAATCTGATTATCTTAAGTGGGTTTTATGGGGTTTAGTTAGAGGAAGGCCAAGAAATAAAAACTTTTAGTGTATATCCAGCTGGTCCAAAGGAGATTCTTCTCTGATTTGAAAGCCCAATCCTGATTTTCTAGACACCCTTGATTTGGAGAATGGAATAATCCAGCTACCCCAGCTGAACGGAAATATTCCTTGGAAACATCTGACTGCTTCTGTTCACTGCTCTCTAGGCTAACCTGTGGGCCATAGCTTTCTGTGAGCTGGCCTCTTTAAAGGGATGCTCACCACAAATGTTCTAAGCTAAGGACGTGCCTGTAATCAGGCCAGAAGAAAATAGCCTGATGTTAACTGGCAAGTGGGCTTCTAGACAGTCCTTCAGTCACCTGAGAGTTCTGGGAAATTGTGTTTTGGTTCCGCTGGGCCTGGTCACCAGAGAGTGGGGATAGAATCC